CTACTTATTTTGATTTTCTTTATTCTGATCTCTTAGAAATAATGAGACAACAGGTCCTACTCTGTTATGTCTTTCTTCCTCCATAATTTTCAGCATAACTCTTCAGGGTTTTTTTTTCATTCCTTTTGCTACGTTATTTCCTCTCCTTGTTTGTAGGAATGGTTTGTTTGTAGGAATGGTTTGTTTGTAGGAATGGTTTGTTTGTCGTGTATCATTGTAGGTCTCATTGATCACTTATGCAGGGTATGGATGAAAACTTTTTTCTCATGAGACAAGCTGACAGGATGTGTAGAAGACATTTTATTTGGTTTTGCTTGTTTTGTAACTTCAGAAGGGTAGAGTTGGGCTCACAGCAATAGGAAATCAGAAGTTACCATCAGAAAATTAACTGTTCTTTCATCACATCTTATGTTCTAGGTGAAATGGGAATAAACAGATCAGTTCCAAAGGGAAATGACACGCAACATTTTACTTGTGTAAAGTGTAAAGATAGAGGTGATTCCATATTAGATCATCATTTTAGTCTTTTGTACTGCAGGCCATTAAAATGGGTTAGAGAAAAGATTGAATTCGGACAAGGGGGACTCTATCTCCAATTGTTGCATCAAAATATTTTATGGAAATCCTTTAATCCTGAACAACTGTGACTTTGGTATTTGGTATAATGACCCATGGGTGGCCTTTCCTTGATGTTTAATAAATTTGTACATACCGCATAAAATCCATGATTCATCTGTTGTTCACCTGTTCTTCTTGCCTATTGCAAGACAGATAATTTTACCCTAAAATAAAACTATAAAATTAGGAGCATTGAAATCAGGGTGGATTTTTTTTTTGGGTCTCTCATATAAGCTAAGCCCTCTTGCCCAACACTAAAGAATGAGGACAGAAGCCAGAATGTTTATACCAATTGATATTGTCTCTTTAAAATTCAGTGTTTTATCTTTTACCTTCCAGTTTGCTTTATAGGTCACTTAATTTTTCTTATTTTCTTTAGTATGAGCTACAAACAGAATATTGCTGAATATGCTAAAATAGATGTATATTTTTTAAGGCTGGCATTTAAGCAGACAAAGAACCATGCTTAATGCTGCTGTGATAATAAATAGTACTATAATTGATTGTTGATAGAAACCCTTAAAATACATTTTTATGGTTGAAATGTACTTTGGGTAAACAGTGTTCAGTTTGCCTATTAAAATAATTCACTATATACCATGGTTTCTTTGAGTATTAAGGAAGTAGGACTTTTCCAGCAACAGTAATTGGTTGACACTGCTTGACCTTAATGCAAAGCTACAGTATTTAATGAACAAACGGAGGGAATAAAGTTTTGATAAATAAGGCAATTTTCATGAAACCTTTAGAAATATGCTTGAAGTCTTTTAGTGTTAGATTGACGGTTTTTCCTTTTGTGAAAAGAATAAGTGAATAATTTAAGGCTATATTTCATGTTTTCAGATCTTCATTCTGTCATATAAATAATAGACTGTGAAATGCAGCAGCTCCTGCATTCACAGATTTAATAGACCTGTACAAGTGAGTGTCTTACTCAGCTTCTGGCATCTTAAAATGCTCTTTTGTGCATATGTACACCTGAGAAGCAATGCAGAAGTGGGACATTCCTAGACTCTCTACAATACCAAGTTTCATACTTTAAGCAGGCCACATATTCTGTTTTTAAAATACTTGCAGTACAGCTTGATATCAGTTTTAATATTTTTAGTTTTTAATTCTGGTACAGTATTATGATGGACAGATGTCAAAAATATAATATGTGGCTATTCAAAATGAAAGTGTAATCTAAAGTTTACGTACTTAAAAGGACAGACTGTGTGAAAAGCATTCAGGGTTAGATCCATCATAGATCTTTGGAACACCATTGATTCTTGATTAGAAGAGAATCAAATATATTTACCAAAACAGTGAAACATCAAGGTAATTTATATGATTTGCTACATTTATTCTTAGTTACATAGTTTCTTTTTGAGGGAAACAGTATTGGGGGAGGAAGAACAGAGAATAGCAAAATTAAGCTGATTTTTTTTTTTTTTTCACTGCCTTCTCTCCCCCTGCCCCATTAAGTGGCTTTAGTTTAGTGCATGTTAAAAGAATAAGACCTATTGCAAACAAGTGGCAAAAGCATTGGGATGTTTTCATGTTCTTGATCTTCCAAGCAAGAGCATAGTTTTAGGACTAGTGGACCATGGGAAACATAAAGACTCCCTTGGGAAGTATGTACTACTGTGCCTGTTTTGTTAGATGCAAAATATAGCTTTCCTAAACATTTCCATTAAAGAAGTTTAAGTTAAGTTATGTTCATTTTCTTCCTGATACCTACTCATTTCAACACTGGAGTAACTCCAGTTGTTAGGTTGTTAGCTTCTGCTAGCATATGATACGATACTGAACTCTTGCTTTCCTCCATCCTATGTGAGCATGCAGGCATCTACACAAGTAAGGAAAGCTCTTTATTCATATTTTGAAAGCTATTTTCTGTAAATAACATTCAAGGAGTCTGACAGGTGGTCTACTTTTGACGTATTATTGGTTTATGTAGGTTCCAGAAATGTCTAGTATGGATCCTTCAGACAAAAGTAAGCAGTCCACATGAGGATGTCATCACCTTTGCTACAATACAGGCAGTTTCCTTCCTGTTTCTGTTTACCGATACTCTCTAGCTCATGTAGTCAAGTTACTTTCTGTCTTACTTTTCAAGAACAATGTTCTTTATATCTTATGTTATACAAATCTTAACAAAATCCTATGTTCTGTTTTGTAAATTAGTTGAGCAACTTACTCATATCTTAGGAGTTTTCATTTTCACTGATATAATTTTCTTCATATTCACAATAAGTCTATATTTTGATTTTAGCTCATCTAAGTGCTTAAATGGGGAGACATGCTTTTCCTGTTCTCCTCAATGCAGCGTTAGAGACCATTCTACAGTGTAACTTGTTGCAAACTGTTGTCACAACTATGTGAATAATGTGAAAATCATTGTGCTGCAGTGATATGAAATACACTGTCATCACCTCTGTTTTCAGAACTTAAATGGAATAATATTTTCTATTTCTTTTGCTACATAAACATTATTTAACCTACTGGCTGGGGTGTTTCTGTTGTTTCATTGAGAATTTACAGGATTAGTATGTTAAATACATTGATCTTTGTAAGCAAACCAGTCACTGATTGGATCCAGCAGTGAGTGAATTGACTTGTTGTGATACTTGAGCAATACATTTGTTACTCTTCATTATTACTTCAGTACGAGTCTGTGGTCTCACTGTAGTAAGTCCTCTGCAAATACACATATTCACTGTTCGTCATTCGCAGCACTGGATTTTTAGGGGGAAAATGCAGGAAGGAGGGTAGAAAAAGCAAAAGAAGGAAATAGGAAAGCAGAAGAGCAAGGAAAAGCAGTAAAGATACTTTGCTAATGGCTGTGTATAAATGATGCTGATGGTTGCTTTTAAATTCTGAATTGGCTACTGTTCTTCATTTAGTCAGTGCAGGGTTTTTTGCTTAATTTGTTAACACCTATAGAAATTAGAGCAGTAGTTAAGACAAATGGACTATGTAATTTGAAAATTGTATTTTGTCACATGTTTTAGTCACAAAACCTAGTTAAAATCAATTGTCCCAACGTTCACTTAACATATTAATAAGTAATACAGGAATACTCTAAGCCCTTTTGAATTAGATATATTACATCTTGTTACAAAATTTAATGCCAGGCTTAATAACTCAAAGTATGCTCTAGAATAAAAGTACATTTATATGCTAGTAAATTTCATCTAGGATGCTAATCTAAATAATAAAACAAAAAATAAAACAACCCCAAAACCACTATTTATTTGTAATGGTTTGATACTTTACGTGTAGACAATTGTGTTTAATTTCTTAAAAAAGAAATCCCAAAATTTATTCTTTCAAAGTGAGTATGTTTTTCATAGTTTATTTCTAAATGCAGTTTAATTTGTTCTCACAGCAGTGGTCAGATTACAGGAGCTATTTGCGTACTTACCCGTAAAATCACTGTCTTCTAGGACATTTTTTTTTAAATGTGTCTAGATGGTTGTGTTCTTAGGTTTTTTGATGGAAAGAAACACTGTAGAAACAGAGTAAAGTACCAGCTTTTCAAAAAGGGAAGATGCTGTTTCCAATTCAACACTATTAGCTTTGCATGTTTTTAATAGGAAAAATTATTTTAAAATAGCAGTGTATCTCATTGCTGTGTGAATAGTGTTTAATTATCTCACAGTGGTTGAAAAATTCTGCATAAACATGTTTTGAAGAGAGATTTTTTTAAAAAGATTTTATTTTTTCTTGATTTACAAGTGCATTTTCAAACAGCTTCGAGTTATTAAAAGATAGATGGCTGATCAGTTGCTGGAATTTGATTTGTTAAATTTTTCTTAGAACCATAGCCTTGAATATTTTATTGTGTTTATAACCAGCTGTAGTGTGCTATTGAACCCAGTACAATTATTTTTGGTCATCTTAATAATTAAGTTACCACTTCATAGCAAATTCATCCAACAATATGAAGTTACTGAACTTTGTAAAATACATTTTTTTAAGTTTAGTCCCAGGAGGAGAAATTTAAAATAATGCTGAGAAATAGCCAAGAATTTCATGCTGATAGAAATTTCAGGTTGAATACTGAAGAAGTCTCCATAACGCTCAAGTTAAAATTTAATAAATTTAATAAATTCTGAACTTTAAAATAAATAAATTGAACCACATGGACTTATCTTACCTGTTGTTTCTATCTCTCCTGTTATATGTTATATCATTATATTATTATGTTATATCATTATGTGAAATACTTATTTGAATTGAATAAAAAATACTAGTTTCGGTCACTTAACTTTTTGTTATATGGAATTTTCCAGAAGAAATCCAATGCCATAGGTGACTTGAATCCCTTTGTGTCAAACTAAAAATTAAAAATGTTTTTAGAATTTTTTCTTCAAACATCTTTATTTTCCATCTAGAGGTCAATTCCAGAAGTCTGGTACTGGGACTGCTACTCCAGCTTCCTTGTTGCTGCTGGTGGCTGGGCCTTATCCACTTGACTACTTGACTGTTGAATGTGTGGAAAAGATCATTCTAAGAACAACTGTCTACTTTGTGTTTGAGTACCTGCCACTATGTGAGTTAATTTTTCTGGTTTTTTTAAAAAAAAACAAAAAAACAAACTGAGTTTGCTTCATTTTCATTAATGTCATAATTATGCATTTAAAATTTATAATATGATGTTAGAGATGTCTTTCTGTAGTTGTCCAAAATAAATACCTTTCTGTAAAAGAAAAAAACACTTCTCTTATAGGTGCTTTTATCCCCACTTTACTATGTTAAATTTTAAAAGACAAATGAAAATATTGACTGTAGTATTTAGTTTGAAAAGTGATGAATAACTGTATTGAAGTCTGCTTTCCACAGAACTAGTGAAACAGAGAGAGTGTCAGTGGGAGCTCTTCTTTTTGCTTTCTCCTATAATATGCTCTAAGTCCCGAACTGGAGGGGCCATTCACTATCTAATTCAAACCTCTTCTTACATTAACAGCATGGCAGTGTTTAGTAATGATACAGTGTTTGCTGTTAAAGACTTGCCAATTTTGCCTTAAATAGCTGGATTATATTACCTTAATTTGCCATATTCCCTCTGTTTAGTTTGGAATTACCTTGCAAATTTAAGGTGATACTACTGAATTCTGTTAAAGGATTTAGGAAGTTGAAATGCTAGCAATGTAGGTACAGACTACTAGTACTGGTCTATAGAAAAACACCAGTTCAAGACATTAAAGGTCAGTAAATTAATTTTAATAGGAACAATTTTTGCTTTTACAAATTCCCATCAGTAACTTTAGTTATTTTTCCTTCATAATGCTCTGGATAGTTTAAAACCCTTTCTGAAGTGATTTTGTATGACATGTATGTGTTTGTGTTTTTGTATGTATAGTTTCTCTACCTTTTAAGTGTAGTTAGTTTTTTCCAGTGTTGCAATAAAGTACAGAACACTATGCAGTACATTAGAGCCTATGCATCAGAACAATTTTCATGCCTCACTCAATTCTTAATGTAAATTAGTAGGAACATTGGTTATCCATTTGAGAAATTGAGTTGGTATAAAAATAAAAATGCACTTATGGTGTGTGGTGCTTTGTGTATCATCTTGGGAGTGTTTTGCTGTTTATCTGTCACTTGCATTAGAAAAAGCAGTCACTGGCTGCAGGTGACATTAAAAATTAAAGGTTAACCTCAATTTCTTTACTGACCAGACGTGGGGCAGAAAGTTCTTGTGGATGTATGCCTGAATTTTGGAACTGTCAAAAATTTGAGTTGAGAAGTGAAGACTTGTGCTTTTGGTAGCTTACTCCTTTCTTGTGTGCATGGGTGGTTATATGATTTCAACATTTTCAAGTGTTTAGACTGCTTGTTATAGGTTATGTCAAGATCATTTTTCTTTGCATCCTACTTTGTGAAAAAAATGACATGATTATGCTACAGTAAATAATTATCTACATAATTTTGGGAATGACTATTTTGTTACTTAGAAAAACTAATAAAAATACATTTTTTCCCATTACTAGAAGATACGTGCCTTTCAAAGACTAGTTAAAATTGTTGAAATTGCTATATAGCACCTTTTGAATATTCTAGTTAGTTCAATATACATTTAATATAAAACAAGATTTATACACTCATGAATGAGCCTGGGAGATCTTTTTTTAAGTATTAAGGCTTTTGACAAAGTTGGCTTCTATCCCACAGTGAGTTCAGAGTGAGCCAAATTCGATAGCGTAATGCTTCCCTTCTCTCTCACTGAAAGTGTTGGAGGCAGCATTCAGACCAGTGAAGAAGACTCCCTTCAGGCAGCAGGGGTTCCATGTAACCTGCCAGAAATCTTTTATTTGCAAAGTAGGTATTATGCTTGTTCAGTGGTAGACCAGGCTACAGGCAGGTCTTGATACCTGAGATGCAAACTCGAAATTGTGGCTGCTGCTCTTACCTTCCATTTCATCTCTTGATTTTACTTACCTATGCAATAACATAGTATGCATATAATCAATAGACCTGCTGCTTCTTCTTGGTTGCTGAGTGAAAATGAGAAGGGAAGAAAGAACAATTAAATTGCCTGCTCTGTCTTTGTGATTAAAATAGACTGCCAAAATGCACCTGCTTTCTTTTCCCATCCCGCATTTGCTGGATAGTGAATGTCTTCTGTCCTTGGCCATTTTGCCTCTTACAGCTCTCCTTAGGAAAACAAGAAAACAGAAATTTCATTAAGGAAAGCAATGAATATTGCTTTAGAATAGAACGTTGCAATTGATGTTTTTGAGGAACCCTAGTATTTCAGACTTGTGTATAAGTGTTTTAAAATTATATATCCATTTGCTTCAATGTAAGCTTGACACAGTTGTTTCAAGACTGGTATGCTATAGATTTCTTAGACTTTGAATTAAATCATATTAAGAATTCTTTGGTGGGGAAGTGGTAATGATCATTTAATCTGTTTTACTTATTATTCCTAATTTGTTAAACCTGTATTTAAGACCAATAATTTATCTGAAGAGAAAATATCTGTAAATGCCAGTTACTTATTTTCCTGTATTTCCCTTCACTTAAAGTTATTCCAGTCTTCTCCAAGATTGATTTCATTTAACACTTCCCAGTTTCTTGCATTTCAGATTTTTTTATGTTGACATAATAATGAAACTGGTCAAACAAGTTGCACTATTGAAATGATTTATAAGGAAACCAAAGTACTATATAGCTTTAAACATAGTTCCTTTGACTTAAGGAGTAATTAAATGCCATATAATAGTTGGTAATTGTTGGTTTGCAGCCTGACTCTAAAGTCTTCATTTTATAAGCTGGGTTATGAAACATCAAGAAACATGAAACATTTTTCAGAGGAAATAACTCAGATAATTAAATACTGGAGAAAGTCATAATTTGAAATGCAGTACTTTCTAAGAAGAAATCATTAAGTGATATTTAGGTATTTTCTTACAGGGTCTAGAATAGGTGGCATTTTATAATTGGTCAGTTACTTCCTTTAAGTTCAAATAAACTTCTGTATCAGTCTAAAAGCACTATCTGGTGACTTGCAATCATGTTACAGATGGCATCTTTTCTTAAATACTACACTAATCTGTGGTTTGTGGAGCAACTAAATTACCCATTTGGTACACTGTTAAGCAGCTCATAGAGGTCATCACACATCTGTATGAGCAGAACATTTCAAGTCTTTCAAAAAAAACATCCAACGTGCATTCATTGCAGTTTTTCTGTTGTTGCTGTTCCTACAGCATGCGTGGCCCATGTGCCTATGTTTAATTTATGGCTGTATTGCAGCGATTGGCTATAGAGTGAGATATCTGTAAGCTAAGAACATTTTTCTCATATGTAGCAAAACTTGCAGGACATGCAGCTTCAAAGGATGGAAGAACAGGTCCAGGATGGAGAGTTATTTTGCAAAGCACTAAAATGAAGTTATATCAGTTCTGTATAAGGGTACATAATGTCACCTCAGGACTAGTAGTTCCCATAGGTTTATTTTCAGTAGTTGTTAGGTTCTCCTGGTGAGGAGTAGCACTACTGTGTGTTACTCGCTTATTCGTTTCAGACATCCTTTTTTTTCTTTTGGTACCATGTCAGGATTTATAAACTTTATGTTGCTGGTCCTCACTTGACAAAATTGGTACTGCTTCACATCCTTGTTAGTTCAAGTGGTCTCTGGCAGCAGTCTTTCTTCACTTCAACTCTCTTGCCCTTGCCCCTGTCAGGCTGCCTCATTTGCCTCCTGAGTCTTATTTTGGGCAGTGTGGCTCTGAAGCCTGAGCTGGCTTTGCACAGAGGCCAGCCAGCTATGGCAAAGCATTTTTCATTGTACTTGGTGCCTGTTTTGTAGTTTGTTTCCATTTTAACCAGGAAACCAGCTTCACTAGTTGGAAACCTCAGTGCTATGGAAGACCTTTCAGTACTTAAAGAGAGCTTATAAGAAAGATGGAGGGAGACTTTTTACCAGGACCTGTAGGGATTTAGGCCTTTAGTTTTAAAATAAAAGAGGGAAACACTTCATAAGAAGAGTGGTGAGACATTGGAATGGGTTGCCTGGAGAAGTTGTGGCTGCCCTCTCCCTGAAAGTGTTCAAAGCCAGGTTGGACGGGGCTTTGAGCAACCTGGGCTAGTGGAAAATGTGCCCCCCACCTATGTCAGGTTGAGCTAGGTGATCTTTAGAGGTCCTTTCCAATGCAAACCATTCTATGATTATACTTGTTGACAGCAACTTCTTGCCTTTGTTGTTACCTGGTTACTATTATGTATGTCTCTTTTATACAGTTTGATTATATGCCATCTCTTCTACATTTTGACATTCAAACTTTTTCAGAAACATCACAGTGGTAACAAGTGGCATTGCTTGAATCTGGTCAGAAGACTTATTTGTGTTTTTCTTTTTCAGTAAGAGGCAACTGCTAACTTAAATGATCAAAATGCTAGTAAGAATTTGCTAAAGTTGTTCATAAAGGATTAAAGTGTCAGTCTTAAGTGTTTCTGCATGAAAAAAACATGGGGGGAAGAAGATGCTGTGTTGCCAGTGGTGTAAATTTTAAAATATGGTTGTAGTGATATTTTGGCATGTTTGAAGTGATCCTCTTACTGTAGTTGTGACCATCAGAGACAGTTGTATCTGATGTGTTCAGAGCTGTGATAATGTTCCAGTAAAGTTTTAAGGAAAAATTAATTCCTAAAAAATTGTCTGCAACTTCTTTTGAAGGGGAAGAGATGCTATTTCATGGCTATCCTTGGCTGTCTTTCATTTTCCTCTTCTCATACCCAAGAAATCCTGTGGGACTTATAAAATGCTTTGCTTCTAGGACAAATTCCTAAGGAAGTTCACAGAATTTTAGTGCATTTTACTCTTAAGTTATACTGATTTGGATGTCTGAACATAAACTGAATGATACTGCCAGATACCAGTGTAGGGGGCAACCATGTGCAGTTGGGGTCCAGTACTAGGGACTGTATCTCCAATACAAGTAGCAGGAGTTTTTCATGGTTGTTGTGACTTGGCAGCATTTGAAATTAGATGGAAAGATGAATAAAGGCAAATTTAAGTGACAGTGATAACCAACTGCCTACTAA